ATTGACTTATTACAAATTTGAACATTCTTTTTCTAGATGACAAGATAAATTACATTTTCTGTTTAACTTTTTACATAGATAACGTAAAGTATCACAAGTTGTTTTAGGACATTTACAAGTTATTTCAAAACTATTTTCAACAACTTGCAAATGTATTTGTGATTCATTTTGTATAGTAGATTGTAATCTTACAGCTTTTCTAAAAGAAATTGATTTTCTTGGTATTTCTTCTAATTCAGAAATATATGTATTTAATATTTCTAAATGTCTAACTAAATAAGTAATATTTAATACGCCAAATTGGCATCTTAATTGATACTTATCATTTCCACTAGAATTAAATATTTTACAAGGTAAATGAGTTCTATCAGTTTTTCCTTTATCTTCTTTTGGAATCTTTATTTTTACTAATTCTCCAATTTTATATTTATTAATTTTAGAAGATCGTGTCATTATTTCTTTCATACTAGCGGTATAAAGTTTGAGATTTTTTTTAGCATTTTTTCGTACATAATCATGTGAGGAAAATTTTGTATTTGAAGGTCCTGCATAATTTTCCTAATAATAATAAATATTATAGTCTTATTTTAATTTATTTTAATTATTTAATTAAGAAATTAATATATATAAATTAAATAAATTACCTCTAATTGTTCATCTAATTATAATTCAATTTCTTTTTCCGTTTTTTTATTATTTTTATCAGAATAAAAATTTAACCAATTAGTAAGTTTATGTTCCTAAACATTTAATTCTTCAGTTGGATATATTTGAGAATTTTTTCTTAATAAATTAATATCTTTAAAGCTAAAAGAATTTTTTTTTTCGTAATTAAAGCTTTTAGGTTTTCAGTATATCCAAATAATCCTAAATATGATTCATTAATTTCTTCCTAAAATATAGCATTTACTTGTTCTTCACAGTAAAAAATATCAAAATCTTTACTCATAGGAGTAAAATTTTTAATAATTCTAGGTTTTGGTTGTATTTAAAATTTATTACAATATAAATTATTTTTAAATTTTTATTAAAATTTGTTATAATTTACTTACTTTTTTATTTTTGATTATAATTGTATCATCATTACTATTTATTAATTTATCATTTTCTTCTATTAAATTAATATCAGTTACTTTTTCTTTTCCTTTTTTTTTTTATTAATAATTAGTGTTTCCTATATTTATATTTAAAAAACTTAAATTTTAATTTTAATTTTAAATATTATATTTTAAATTTATTACGGGATAAGATTTTTTTGATATATGCAATAAATTATCATCAATATCATCAATATCATCTATATTGACAATATCTTGATTCTAAAATTAATAATATTTTTTCAATTTAAATTAAAATATTTAATAGATAAAAATATTATAAATATATATTACATTATT